TGCGCCGGCCGCAGCAGGGACGCGTATCCAACATTTCAGCCCAGCCGCACCGCGTCCTGAAAAAAGGGGAAGAAGACTTAATTACACGAAACAAGGTCTGCGCAAGACACGTGAGGCGCGGCGAGGCACGGCCAGGCACGGCCAGGCACGGCCAGGCGCGCCGCTCTCTTGTTCCTTGCCATGCAAATTCAGGGACGGGTAGCGGCGGATCCGCAGCAGGGTGGCAGGGCGAGGCGGCCGAGGCGAGGCGAGGGGGTTGGCGGCGCCGGCGCCCCGCGGACCCCGCGAGCTGCGCGACACCCCAGCACCACCACGGCGGCCAGGCACGGCCAGGCTGCTGGCAGGCCGGGCCGGGCCGGGCGGCCAGGGGGAGGCGAGGCGACCAAGGGCATGCGTACAACGCAGTGCTACGCAGTGCTACGCAGTGCTAGGCTGCCTGGCTGATATTCAAAGGATTCACGCTCCCTTCTCTCCGCCCCGCCCCGCCCCGCCCCGCCCCGCCCCGCCCCGCCCCGCCAGGTTTTCCTCTCGCATCTCAAATCCCTCGGCTGCTGCCTGCCGCCCGAGCCGCCACCACCCCTCGCGCTATTCTCACACATGCAAATTCCCGGAGATTTTTGAGGCGGACACCGCTCAGCAGGAGGGAAGAGGAAGAAGGTGGGGCGTGAGCGTGTTGCCGTGTGTGTGTGTGTGCGTGTGTGTGTACGCTGTGACAGTGGACAAGCAACAACAGCGCCAGCATCTAAATGTTTTTCAGTCAACGCAGACACCAAAAACACCCGTCGAAAATTATTTTTGTCCTTTCCTAATTTATGTACGTACTCCACTCTGCAGAGGCCGAGCGGCGCGTGATGATACTGACACCCTTCAGGGCGTGTTAGCGCCAAGCCACGCCGCCCCGCGCGCCCCGCGCGCCCCGCACGTCGCTGTGACAGAATCTCGGCGAGGCGCGGCGAGGCGCGGCGAGGCGCCTCCCCCGCGACCGCCACCTCAAGGGCTTCGTCGCCGGCGGCGTCGTCGGCGTCCTCGTGCACCAGGCTCGGACCGGATCGCCGCGCCGCCCGTTTCGGCCCGCCAGCGAGACGACAAGAGTCTGCCTCGTCGCTCTGTCTCTCTCGCGTCCCCACGGGGCACCCTAAGAGTGCGAGAGAGACAGAGCGACGGAAAGGACTTTCAAAATCACCCTGCAGACCAGGCTCGCCGTGCGCGGAGCCAAGGCCCTCAGATTTCCACCCCACCCACCACTATGGCCTGAAGCCAGAAAATTAAAATCCGGGCAGAAAAATCCGCCGCCGCCGCCGCCGCCGCCCCCCGCTCCGAGAACGCCGCGACAGGCGCGCATGACGTGCCACTGCCACTGCCACCAACGTGCGGCCGACGTGTCACTGGGAGTCACGCCCAGGCACGTCAGCCTGCGTCAGCGCGTCAGCCCTGGCAGGGCGCACTGGCACGGCGGCGCACTCTGCACCACGGCCGTCACCACCACTACCACCGTCACCACCACCACCACCAACAACAACAACGACTTTGTCAAGGACAAAAAGATCAACTCATCATCACCATCAACAAAATAATAACAACAACAACAACACAACGGCGATGATGACACACGACGTTGAGGATGACAAAGACGGCTCAACGACGAAACAACAGCAAAAACAACAACAATACAAAGAACAACAAACAACAACAAACGAAAACAACGACAACAACGGCAGCAAAGGACGATATCATCCTAATCTGGGGCGGGGAATGACGCACGCCGCCGTCCGCTCGGCGCGGAAATAGAACCGCCACACTGCGCCTTGCGCCGCCGCCTTGCCGCCGGTCGCAGTCACGCCGCACTCGCCGGACTCGCCACGCGCGCGAAACCGCGGTGGCGCGGCCATTCCAGAAAGAAGCGCGAGGGAGGAGAGGAGGCTCCGAGGCGCGGACGGCGCGTGTGTCCGTTGCGATGATTAGTCATTAATCAGCGCGGCCGCGTCGGCGTTAAGGTCACCTTTAACGGCGGGACGCGGCGGGACGCGGCCGGAACCAGGCGGCCGGGAGGAGGGGCGAGAACGAGGTGGCAAAACGCGGCGGAAAGCCGCTTAATCTCCGCAAACTGGCCACGCCGCCGCGCCGCGTCTTGCGTCACACGGTGCGCCGTGCGTGGTGCTGCGTGCGCCGCACGATGGCGCGCACCCGACGCGTCGCGCATCTCGCACGTGTCCGCGACGGGCCGCCAGCAGACTGATTCCGAGAGTCGTTTTCGTCTCTCTGTCTCTCTCGCACTCATGGGGTGTTACGTATGGGTGGGAGAGGGACAGAGCGACGGGATCGACTCTCGGAATCAGCCTGCAGCAGCGCGTCGTCGACGTTGGCAGGGCGCAGGGCCTCGTCGCGGTGCTGCAGGCTGGCCACGGGGCTGCCGCTGCGGCGCTCATCGCCAAGACGCGCGCCAGTCAGCTGATCACGGCAAGGCAGGGTTCGCTTGCTGCTCCGCTTGTTCCGGCGTTCCGGCGCGCGGGGCTGCATCGCGCCACGCGGCCGCCGTCCCTGTTCAGCGCCAAGCGGGGCGAGGCGGGGCGAGGCGATTCAATGAATGGAATCTGAACGCAGCCCTCGCTGCCTTCCTTGTCTGCATCGCCACGCCGCGCCACGCCGCGCCATGCTGCGCCCCCAGCCCCTCCAGCCCTGCGGTCGATCGCGGGCCCCTCCTCGGTCCCACCCCCGCCGCGCCGCCGCCCCGCCCCCGCGCCCCGCCTCCGCGCCGCCCCGTCCACCCCCACGGCGACGCCCTGCCCAGGCCACCTCCCCGGTGCCGTGCTAAACAATTATTTCGCGGTCGGCGAGAGCGGCGAGAGCAAGGGTCACTTGAGGGCGGCCCCGCGGCCCCGGTGCCGCGATGGTGCCATGGCGGCCCGCTCCGCCACGCCGCGGTGCCAGAGGTGGCCGCGGACCCCGTCGGGGTGGACCGCGTCCCGACCACGTCCTGCCGGTTGCGGCGTTGCGGCCGTGTGGCCGGATACCATTTCGCATTTCACTCAGCGATGGTCATCCGCCCCGCCCCGCAGCCCATTCCGCCACACACACGCACGCACACACGCACACCAGGCCCTTTTTTACAGCGGCAGTAAATTCGCTGTCGTGATGGGTGACTACAGGCCGGCCGGCCGGACCGCGGCACGGGTAAATAAATACATAAAAAAATAATAACACGGAGGCGAGCATTGTGTGTCATTGCCGCGGCGGCGTTGAGTGAAACTGCCCGCGGGCCGTACCGCCAGCGTACCGCGCGCGGAAGGCCGTGGGTTCAAATACCGCTGGGAAAGTTTTTTTTTGTTGTTTGTTTCCGGGGAGTCCTTTTTCTTCTTTTCCGGCTAGTGGTGTGAATGCGCGGCCGCGGAGGCCGCCTTGAACCGAGGCCGTAAACGGGTGTGACGCCGTGACGGGTGGCGCGCGGGGGTTGTCGCTCTTCTTGGCGCCCAAGTCCACGAGCTGCCAGTGTGCTGCCAGCGCCAAGGCTAAGGCTGGCGTACGCTAGCGCCGCGAACGAGGTGCGCGACGCGCGGCGCGTCGCGATTTGAGGCCCAGTGGGGCCTCAAATTCACCACAGTGGGGTGGCGGCCCGTGGCGCCATCAAGAGCCACCCCACCACGTCGTCGTCGGGCCTCCTCGACGGGGAGCCTCCTCACCTGGGCCGCCACGCCGCGACGCCGCGACGCCGCGACGCGCACCTGCCGGGCCGCGGCGTGCTGCTCCCCTACTTGTTGTGTGCCAGACGCCTCGTGCGCGTCATTTAAATTTCATAAATGATTGGAGTACGCGGCACCGCGGCGGCGCGGCGGCGCGGCGGACGGCGACGCACCGAATGGCATAATGCGGCGCGCGGCTCGTTGAGGCAGATCAGTGCGCGGACCCAACTACTTGGTATGCCGCCGTTCCGAGAGGGTTTTGGGTAATAATGCTGCATTAACATATCCACCCCAGCGCCAGCCCGCCCGGCCGCCGGGCCGCCAGCTCGGCCGGGCCGCGGCCGCCAGTCCGCCCCGCGCACGGCACGGGGGTTGCGCACGGGGACCAAGGACGCGCGCAAGGCCGCCAAGGACGCCAGGGAACGCCGGCGTCGTGCGCTCCGCCTGCCAGGATCACCTGCCGGGTCGCCATCTTTTAATACGACGCGCTCCTGAATATTTTTACCGGCGGCGCGGCGGCGGCGGGGGCAAAAACGCGAGGGGGTGTGTCGCGTAGCTCTGGCGTGATTGCGCGTGTGTGTGAGCGCGTGCGTGCGTGTGTTGACGGCTTTACTAACAGGCCGCTCGTGGCTGTCAAACATGACGAGGTGAATAAGCAGGGTATTGATTATTCGCAGTCACATGTTGCGTGCCCGGGGGAAGTACCACGGGGATGTCCTCGGAGCAGCGACTGATCTGGCTGGCGGCTCGAGTGGTGATGGTTTTCGATCGCTGTGTTTGGCGCTCGTTCTTTTCGCCGTGTAGCTCCCGGCCCTCGTTGACCACCTCAGCTGCGCGTAATGGCCGGAACCGCGGGCCGAGGTGGTGGCGGAGGCGGGGCGGAGGCGCGGCAGCCTCTGCACAGAAGTCACTGGCATTTCTCATGCGCGCACATGACAGATTAACAGGTCAGGAAATAAACTGCCAAAAGTAAGAGCTAATTAAAAGGCCATAAAGCAGGCGCAGGCCATGGTCAGCCCGTGAGTCTGGCGGTGCGGCGCGGCGGCGCCTCGCCTCGCGCCCGGCCCAGCCACCAGCCATCCGGTGGCGCGCTCTGGCGGCGGCGGCCGGCGGCACCCCGTGGCACCCCCTCCCGCCAGGCCCAATGAGCGGGCCGACGGACCGCGCCGTGCCGAGCCGCGGCCGCCGCTCCACGCGCAGCCAATGGCGGCGCTCGGCGGCGCGGGGCGGCGGGGCGCGGCGGGGTGGCGCGGGGGTCGGGGGGGTCCCGGAGCGAGGCTCGCGGCGCGGACGGCGGCGGACGGCCGCTAGTATCGAGTGGAGAGTCGACCGTGATGCATAACCCATGAGACTGTCCGCGTTCGCGAGTCGTTGTGCGTGTGTAGTCGTGGCCTCCATGCCGGCGCAGCAGTACTGGCAGTACTGAGGTTAGCAATTCAGATCAGCGGGCCGCGCTAGCCAGCGCACAGCCCCCCGCAGAAGCAGCATCGCGCCCATCCAGTCCATGGCTGCGACCTCCTACATGCCGGCGAGTACCGCAGGCTCGTCCGACCTGGACGGCAGCGGGAGTGTGCTCTCCGGCATGAACTTGGTGAACGCGTCGCTCGGGGGCGGCTACCACACGTCGCCGAGCCCGCGGTCCGCGGCCGACGCGTCTCACCATGGCGTGGAGATGAAGTACATGCCGACGGCGCAGCATCACCACCACCATCACCATCACCAAGTGCCCGCGTCGCCGTCACCCAACGGCCACCCCGTGTCGTTATCCGCGTCCCATAACCCATGGGTGAGCCTGCAGCCCGGCTCGGGGCCGGACCCCTGGGCGGCCAGCATGGCCACCATGCACAGTCACCACGGCCACCATCACCATCACCCTCACCAGGCCGCCACCATGGCCGACATCAAGCCGTCTCACCACGCCATGCACGAGCAGCATCGGGTGCCCCCGCAGCACCAGCAGCCCGGCCTGGCGTCGCCGCACTCGTGGCACGCCCCCGTCGTGTCCTCGGCGCACTACTCGTCGGCGGGGTCGCCGCTCAACCACCAAATGTACCACGCGGCCGTGAACGGCATGCTGCCGCACCACCAGACGTCACCGCAGCTGCACGCGTCGCTGCGGGACCTGCAGAGCCACTCCCCCGGGCCGCTGCACCTGCACCACCAGCAGCTCGACGGCCGCGGCGACCCGGAGGGCAACGAGGAGGACGCGCCCACCTCGGACGACCTGGAGGCCTTCGCCAAGCAGTTCAAGCAGCGTCGGATAAAGTTGGGGTTCACGCAAGCGGACGTGGGGCTAGCGCTCGGGACGCTCTATGGGAATGTGTTTTCGCAGACGACCATCTGCAGGTTCGAAGCGCTGCAGCTTAGTTTCAAGAACATGTGCAAACTCAAGCCGCTGCTGCAGAAGTGGCTGGAGGAGGCGGACAGCACCACCGGCTCGCCCACGAGCATAGACAAGATCGCGGCGCAGGGCCGGAAGCGGAAGAAGAGGACCAGCATCGAGGTGTCGGTGAAGGGCGCGCTGGAGCAGCACTTCCACAAGCAGCCCAAGCCGTCGGCGCAGGAGATCTCCGCGCTGGCGGACTCCCTGCAGCTCGAGAAGGAGGTGGTGCGGGTGTGGTTCTGCAACAGGCGGCAGAAGGAGAAGCGGATGACGCCGCCGAACACGCTGGGCGGCCCGGACATGATGGACGGCGGCATGCAGCCCCCGCACGGCATGCACCCCGGCTACCACCACCAGGACCAGATGCACGGGTCGCCGATGGGGCCGCACTCGCACAGCCCGCCCATGCTCAGTCCGCAGGCCATGTCCCACCAGTCGCTGGCGGCGCACTAACATGGGGCCCCACCGCGATCACCCAATGCCACGACCACAGGCCGGCCCAGTGGACCTGGGACCCCCAATGGGGCCCCATACTGGGACTATCTGTGAAGCAGGAGCCCGCCGTCGAGGCCGCCGAGGTCGCCGATGACGTCCACTGGGACTACTTCGGCGGCGATGGAGGCAGCGGCGGCGGCTGGACCAGCCTGGCCGCACCAACGGCGGGGACGTCAGTGGACTCGCAGCGTGACACCTTAGTCAAAGTGGAAACCAAATACGACAACTGAGGAGGCCAGAAACCAGGAGTGATTGTGTGCGTGCGTGTGTGTGAGTGCGTGTGTGCGTGTGCGAGTGAGTGTGTGTGCAAGTGGGGCCTCATGTGATAGAGTCGTGAAGTGTTGCGGGGGCGCGAGTGCCCGGCGTTCCTAGGGGCGCCTCACGGCCCCGGAGGGAGGCTGCTGAGCTCCCCCCACGCTCATGGCGCCCGTCGTCGCGCTGCCAAACGTAGTGCTCTGTCCCCAGTGTGGTTGCCGCCAGCCTGCCCGCAGGGGTGCCAACTCACCCCTCGCCGGCGGGTTGGCCAGGTTGTGGCATGAAGAGCCATATTTATTTTGGACTTTAAAGGACAATGATACCAAAAGACTGTGTGGTGGTGTTCGTCGGTGGAGAGAGTACCTTCTTTTTGTTTGTTTGTTTGTTCGTTCGTTTGTTTGTTTGTTTTAGTCCAAGACTCGTATAAATTTGCAAATAGATCTGTTTTATATGAAGCAAGCTCGGTTATGTAAATATAGTGATAAGTGGATATATATATAAAAATATATATATACGAATTCTATATATATTGAGGGGCCCAAGGCATAGTGTGGTGCCGGCACGGCGTGTGTACATATGGACATTTGAATTACCCGGTGAGCTATCGGGACGTGCCGCAAGCACTCCTTCGTACAAAGTTCTTGTTCCTTAGTGCTTCATGGAACCGTGCAGTCAGTGAATGTCATTACTAGGCGTTTGGTCCAAAAGTGTTAAATTCGATCGACGATTCATTCAGTGTCTTAGTTTTATTGGTTTGCGCTACCAAAAAAAAGGAAGCTTGCCCAGTGATTGGCCCGCGTGTGCACCTTTATCGTCTCCTCTTCGCAGAAACCTCGTTTCTGAATCAGTGACATCAGCGTTCAACCAAAGTGCAGTGCAGTGCCTTAGTGTGTGTGTCTGTGAGTGTGTGTGCGTCAAGAAAAAGTGATTTTAGTGCTGGCTGGGCCGGGCTGGGCCGGGCTGGGCCGAGGAGCAGCTGTGTGCCCAGTCGGGGCCTGGCCGGCCTGGCCGCCACGCGGGGCCCAAAGCCCTACCCGATCCCGGCTGGTTGGACAACTCACCGGGCTGGATGTCAAGCCGGGTAGGGCTGGCTTTGGATCGGCCTGCCTGCCTGCCTGTCCGGCCACGCGGTGCCCGGCCGCCCCGCCAGCAGCCAGCCAGACAGTCTCAGCCTACCTGCCGCCTTAGGCAACAAAAGGTGTTCCCCAGCAACCTGCCCGCCACTCCGAAAAAAATACAAGAAAAAACGTGCAAGAATGTGGTTCTAGCTTCGTCTATGGCCCTCTCTCTCGCTCGGGGACGCGCGCGCTCGCTCCGTCTTCGTCGCGCCGAGAGGGTCATCCGTGTGTGTGTGTGTGTGTGTATGTGTCTTGTGGGGTGCCGCGCCACCCACCCCCGCGAGGATTTGCCACACTGGAAGTGAAAAAGTTTTGTGAATCGTGCGCCTCGTTGGACTGCCACGCACCAGGTACTGACCAGGTAGGGCCAGCATCGGTCTGTTCTTACTTGTGTGTTGGATTGAACGCTGTTTAGGGCGAAAAAGCCAAAGAGAAACCGTTAAGTAATGAATTTTGCAGGTGTGTGTGCATTTTACTTCGGAACGCCACCGATTTCCTTTTTAAAGCTTAGATTTCATTCAAACTTTTCAATGTTTCTTGAAGTCATTTTTTCTGTGTGATAAAACAGTCCAGTTTTTCATTTTACACACGCCTGCAAAGTCATCACTTATTTGGAAGTGGTTTTCTGCGAAAGAGGATACGTCCAAAGTAAATAATACGCAAGAGGCATTGATAACTGTTCCGTAGACTGTTCCATTTTGCATGCTGCGAATTTAGATACACTTTTCTTAAATTTTTCTACGTTGATTGTCTTTGATCTCCCGTCCGAAAAGAAACAAAAATAATTGCATGACCGCTTTACTCGTTCATTCATTCATTCGTTTAATTTTCATTGAAACTCCATTGATTCGCACCTTCACTTTTCCGCCAACGTCGGTGTAATTTGTTCTGTATTTTCGATTTGGTCCCGAAAAGAGGGACGCACTTTTAACGCCTTCGTAAGATTCAGCGTTTGATAACGCGCCGCGAAAATGAAAAGGCCAGCAGTGCAGGGAGGCATCCATCGGGAGTCCCTCCGGGGCGACCCTTACTCTGCCGAATGCGAACAATGGCAAGTACGATGCCCCGTAATAGTCCATTGTGCACACGTCCCGACCGACTGTTCATCTGTCTAAATAAAAAACGTGTTGCTGTTTACGATATCGGAAGTCAGGTGCATGCGATTGACTTTATCGGTGTTCGTTCCCCCTTTCTGCGGGTCGCGCTGGGCGAAAAGTTAATGACGCAAAATGCGGTTAGTTTGGGAAAACTTATCAATGCCTCGTCTCATTTAGGGTTAAGCTGGATGAAAGTGTGTTGAAATTGATCGTTGGGATGTTGATTCGCAGATTCAATTGGTCTGGACCACTTTGTTTTCAATGTCAAATTTTGGTAGTGCCCATGCCAAGCTTCTTTGAACAGGTGAAGCACGTTGTTTTTGGCGCTCCCCGACGCCGTGCTATGTTTGTTGTAAGTCATTTTATAAAGCTTTGTTGCTCTCGTTACAAAATTTTCCTGTTTGACTAGTTTCAAATTAAGTTAATTGAGTCCTGCAAGCCTGTGAATTTCTAAATTTATTTGAGAATGTGTCTCTTCTCCGTGCACGGTTGGATTTGTCTCTTTAGTAATCATGCATATGTGTCATTCTTGAGCCGATTATTTTCTTTTTACTGAATGAATTTCACGCCGTTAACTCTAGTCTTAAAAGTGTGTAAGTAGAAAATAACGCGGTTGTCTATCGTAGTGACACGATGTCATGGTTGGTAAACAGGGTGTGGCCCGCTCACACAAAGCAGAAAGCGAAGCATGTCATATGTGGCTCGAGGCATCAAGCCTCCGTTCGTAATTCCTTCAAGTTGCCCATACGCCTGAAGATAAAAATTTGAACAATTTCTCCAAATGCTATTTTTATACATGGCAAAAATTATGTTCTAAGTAAAAGTATTTTCAAACTGTTTTTGAAGTAAAGTTGTAAAGTGTACTCTGTAGAGCCGATAAGTGACATGCCTCTATTCTTCTCTAAGTGACAGAAACAGTGACAGTTATCATTTGCACAAACCCGATTTATTTTATTGAAGTGTGTAGTGGTTGGTTCAGTGCGGTCCCTGCTCCATTCAGAATCTGTGTTATTTATGTATCTCGTTTCTCATTATTTATTGTTTAATGTGTCAGTACAAATGATCATGGTTAAGAACTCTAACTAGCCACGTTCGAAATGCAAAATTTTGGCGATCTGCCAAAAATCTAAATTTAGAACTTGTCTCATTTTTTTTGGTGCTTTTTGTCAGGCTTAGCGCGTCTAAATGAAACGCATCTGTATTTTAAGTGTTTTTTTTTCTTTTTCAAAGAGCTCAATCGTGTAGGCAAACCGAAATTTAACTACGATAGTGGGCCGTGGCTTGTGAATTTGGTTGTTAAGACTGGATCTCAAAACTTAATATTATGAAGATGTGTATAATTTTGTGTTCTTTCGTTGCCAATCTACTTATTTTATTGTCAATTCTTATGCCTGCTCGTTTTGTTTTGTCAAGTGATAGAATGTCGTGAAAAAACACTTCACGAGTAAGTTATTTGTTTCAGTAACAGAAAATTTCAACAACAAACAGATGTGTCAAATTCGAGTAAAGTGTACAAATCTGTTTCTGTCTTGTGTTACCATACTATATTTAAATTTAGTTACGTTTTAGCAAATCTGCGGATATTACGAAAGAAAATTCGTTTGCCTATATTCTATCGTAATTCATGTCTAGTAATCTTTTGTAGTTAAACTTTATATGGGCTCTTTTGAATGAAATGTATTCATATGATTTGTATTTTCCATGCAATTGTATGGATACATTTCAAAGGGTGATGTTTTAAATTGTACTGACCAATTGTGATTTTTCTCATATTGTTATGTAGATGTTTATTCTTATTTGTTTTGAATAGTTTTTTTAAAAATAATTTCACTGTTTTAGTTTGAAACATTCCACTATATGAAATATACATATGTATATATCTAATGAACAAATTGAAAGGTTTAATTGTAAGTAGATCCCCCTCCCCATGATTGTACTGACTTATACATAAAAGAAATCTTGTTCAATAAATGATGGCATTGTGTTTTTGTCATGAAGTGAAACAACTTTTTCTCTTTTATTATTTTTTTTATATATTTGTCATTTTTTTTCATATTACAAGCATTGAAAAAAGTTCAATCTGTAACAAAAAATATATGAGTCTCGGAAAGGAGCCAGAAACAAAAAAGAAGAAGCTTAGTCTCTGGTAAGCAGAGCGAAAACACGCACCGAGCCACACACGAGCATAGTTTTAAAATTTCCAATGCTACTTATCCAAGCATTTGCACGTACAGACTTGTCCGGGGGACTGGTCTGCCGGTCTATCGGACGCGCCGATCAGTGCAGCTACTGGCTGCTGGGCTGATACACATAATGAAGATAATGGTCCTTCGGAATGCCGCCGCCACCACCGCCTGCTCTTAGTGCTGCTGCTGCTGACCATCCCATTTCATCTCGGACTCCGGCGGGTGTCAAGTCAAGACTACCGTTCCTATCATAATCGTGATGAGGCACTTCTGTCTGTTGAGTTGGTGTATCAACGACTAAATCGCTTTACTCGCCGTGTTATTAAGGGCACGAGCATTTAGGGCTTGTGCCGTGAGCTTTCAAAGTGATTCGACTGACGGCGGTCCAAAAAACATTTAAAATGTATTGATGAGAGGCGTGGGGAGAAGCATTGTTTTACAGGGTAACTCTGCTGCTGTAAGTGCCTGTCGTTTTTGAGAACATGCGGCGGCGGCTCAGCGGCATCGATTTTCTTACAGACGGCGTCCTAGACGGGGTATTCATTTTTTGGGGGGGTAAAGAAAAACAGGAGGTACACGCGAATTGCGGAGGTAACCTTCACAGGCATTCCGATTATTTCGGGCATTCACTGGGCCGTGCTTTGCAGACAGGGGGAGGGCAAAGGGAATCAAGGGTTGAAGGGTCATTGCTCCCATGCACGTCATGTCCGCGTCCCGTTCGTCCGTTGGGTCTAGCCGCGGCTAAGCGCTACGCCCCTGCAACGACAGGCCGCCTCTCCCTTCCTTTTTCGTTTCCATTTTTTTATTCTTTTTATTTGTGGCGCGCGTATGGGATACCTGCTTGTGTCACCTTCCTCCGTTCCAAATAAATATCGCTGTCACGGCGTAAAGAGCAGTCGCCCAGAAGAGGTTTCCCGCACAACAGGTGACCGCCGACTCGCACCTGCTCGCTCACACACACCGCCTTCTTGGGCCGGAGCGAGAGCGGGGCGGCGGCGCGGCGGTCCGCGCCAGCTGGGGCTCCGTAGGGCGGCTAGGCGCGGCCAAGACAGAGAGTCGTTTTCGTCGCTCCGTCTTTCTGTACGGGAATGAGTGCGAGAGAGACAGAGCGACGCAAGGGCAAGGGTGCCATGCGGCGGCGTGTCCGGGTCAGCGACGACATCGGCCGCCTTGTCCTCCAGGAGCAGCGAGGGCCGAAAAAAGAGGACAGCTCGCCGAAAAAGGGGCGCGCGCCGATCGGCCGGGCAAAGCGGTGTCCGACCGCCCTCTTGTCGTGGCCCGTCTGGGGTGCGCCAGCAAGCGGCAGGCCAGGCCGGCCCCGACAGTGCACTCCCCCACGGCTGGCCAACGACATCTTTGAGGCTCATCGGGGATACGGTGGGATTAGCCACGTCTTTGATTCGTATGTCGCTGTTGGAACCGAGTCAGCAGTGAGTGTGTGCGTGTGGCGGCGCGGCTGGCGCCACCACGCCATTGTGTTTGTACCATTCATAGCTTTCAGGCTTCGCGACACGGCGAGCGAGGCAAACGCCCGACGCTCCACCTCGACGCCCCGAGCCCGGTTCGACGGCGTGCTCGTCGACGCGGTGCCTGGGACGCGGACCGCGGCCGCCGCACCGGGGCAGACGAGGCCGCCGGAAACAGCGCGCGGCGCAGAAGTTTCTTCTTTCATGATTTCCATGACAGCCTTGCCGTGCGTCGGGCCGTGCGTCGGGCCGTGCGTCGGGCTGGCCGTCGGGCAGCCCGTGCGCTTGCCTCTGCTTGCTTCCCATGGCGGCGACCTTCCCCACGCGTGGGCCGCCGTCTCGGCCGTCTCGGTCTCCTCGGAGGAGATGCGGCCGCACGCAACTTCCAGGTGGCGTCCGCCGCGTCCGCCGCGCGGGGGGGGTTCGGCACAACCTTCACGACCTCCAGCGGCGCGCGGCGCGCACGCGCTTTTTTGCGTATATCTCCCGCGTGGAACTTTTGCGCCTGGCTTCCGAACATAAAAGCCGCGGCGCGGAGCGCGAAGCGGCGGGGGCCTCCGACGGTGACCTTGGGCGTGAGACAGTGCGCGAACTTGGCCGAAAGGGTGCCAAGCGGCACAAGCGGCGCGGCGCTTTGGCTCGCTTTGGCGCGTTTGCGTCATTTTACGGTGTGGCGGTGCGCATGCGTGCGCCGCGCAGTGTGCCGCCGAGGACGAATTAAACGTCATGATGCATCGCGCGGTATTTACGCGCGCGATGACAAATCGCTGACGCCGTCCACGCCGTCCGCCATTACCGCGCGAAAAGGAAAGTGTCGGTGGCGTACCGGCTGCAGCCTGCGGGCTCTCGTCGCTCTGTCTCTCTCCCACCGCCATGAGGAGCCCATCCGTGCGAGAGAGACGACAGCTCCGTCGGGACGCAGCGTGCTGCTGGCGCCCGGCACGGCGATCTCCGCTGGACAAGCCGCGGCCCGGCGACACCGGCAGCACGGCGCGAGGCGCGCGAGGCGCGCGGACATCAATTATGCAATCCGGCCGATCGGCCAAGTCAGCTGTTGTGATCCTGTCGGCACCAACAGCGGGGCATCTTCGGTCAGCTCGCGTAGGTTATGGGCCGCGGCGGCTCGAAATTTGGCGACAAAATGAAGACCCCATCGCGGCTTGAACTTGAATATCTTCAGGTCACCGTCGGCGGGAACCTTCGGGACACCTTCGGGAACCTTCGGGAATCGAAACCTCGGGAACCTGCGGGAACCTTCGGGACACCCTTCGGGAACCTTCGGGAACCTTCGGGACACCCTTCGGGACACCTTCGGGACACCTTCGGGACACCTTCGGGACACCTTCGGGAACCTTCGGGGCACCTTCGGAACACCTTGGCGCCGCCGTCAGAGACCTTCGGTGACCTTGACGGCGGCGGAGTGCGCGTTCGGGAATTCCCTTTATCTGTGGCCGGTGGCGTTTCTCACCTCCGACTGCCTCCGACACCGCGCGCGGCCGCACGCGGCACACAGCGCCTCGCGGGTTGGAACGCGGCGCATATCTCAGCCGTCAGCGCACCGTCTAGTCAGCTACTCTGCGTCTGACGGCGTCTCTGACGGCTATGAGCACCGTACGAGGGCGTTCAAGCTGAGACGGCGAATCGATAGCCTCGTAGCAGGGCGCAGCAGGGCGTAGCAGGGCGCAGACCCTCGCAGCCGGGCAGCAGGCAGGCAGCAAGCAGGCGGTGGAATGGGGTGGGGGCCGTTCCGGGCCGTTCTGGTCGCAAGGCCGTGCCCGTGGCCATCGATCCCCCAGCCACAGCGGACCAGCAGACTGATTCCGAGAGTCGTGTTCGTCGCTCTGTCTCTCTCGCACCTGCACGGCACGCTCCACGAGTGCGAGAGAGACGGAGCGACTTTCGGAGACGCGTCTGCAGAGACGTTACGGCGGCAGTGCTGGCCATGCTGGCTCTGTTTAGAGGTGTTTGGAGGGCAGTTCCACGAGGCTGGATAAATCGGTCGCCCCGCCCCAACCTGAGCCCGCCCCTTGATCCAGCCAGTCCGCCACTGCCGCACATTTTTCTGGAGGGAAAAAGGAATGGCGGTAAATTGAGAGGTCGCCGTTTGCTCCACCGCGAGGTTCGGGCGAATACACGTCGCATGCACTGTTGTGGCGGCATGTGAACGCTTTAGTGCCCTTCTTGGTGTCGAGGCGGGGCGGGGCGGCGCGTGGCTTGGCGGGTGCGCGCTCCTTTCGCCCCGCCCTGCCCCGCCCCGCCCCGCCCCGCCCCGCCCGCGGCGACGGTGCCAGACCACACACCTGACTAGCGAGGCACAGCAAGAGAAGCTGCACTCCGCCTTCAACACACACAGCCGTCGTAAAAAGCACGCGCACGGGGCATAAAAAAGGGGCGCTGGACCGGTATTCGAAGCCGGGACAAACACTTGACAGCCGATAACTTGGGGCCCGGCCCGGCCGCCCTGGACCCTGCCCTTCGCGCGTCGCGCGCCTTCGCGGCATATGCAAAGTGGGTGTCGGCCAACGTGCCGGCCTGGCTGGCTGGCGCGGCGCCGGCAGAGTACATGGCGGGTAGCGGCGGGCGGCGTCGGGTTGCAAAGGGGTGGCCTGCCGCCGCCTGCCGCCGCCTGCCGCAGGGCGCGGGGCAGGGCGCGCGGAGTGCGCAGTGGTTGCCTGCGCAACGCCGCCCCCCGCCACCCCCAGTGGCGCCGCCCCCCGCCGCCCCTGCCGCCCCCTGCGACGCGGGGACGGGGCGAACCCGGCGCGGCGTTACCCGAGTATCAAAACTCGAGTCGAGTCGCCTCTCTCTCCACTTTGCCAAGTTCCGGGCGGCGTCCGAAGCGGCCCGTCCGTCCACCTGTGGGGACTGCGGGGGCTGTCTCAGGGGGAGGATGTCGTCCTCGGCCGCGTCGGCCGCGTTGGCGCGCACTTTGATCCGGGTTTGATTGAATCCGCGCCCCGACGGCGGCCGCGCTGGCCTGGGGGACGGACGGCGGTGTCGTGCACACTGTCGTGCCAGCGGGCAGTATGTTGGCGGCGGGGAGCGCGGGGCCGGTCTGCACTGCAGGTACCCGGGGTGGCGGCCCGGCCGGTGGCGGCCGGTGGCGGCACAGGCCCACAAAATAAAGAAATAATAAAAAAGTAAGTGCACCTACACGTCGAATGGCTCATGCCTCATTTCCATGGCACGGCGCAAAGCGCCCCGGGCCGCGGGCAGCCACGGCCGCCTCGGCACTGTAGGGGGTCACGCAGGGTCAATCGGACCTCGCCGTCGTCCTCACCGCCACTTCCCTAATCGGGGCCCAAATTTGTCATCCGGCCGATCTGAGATCGCGAGCCGGAATGCTATTGG